GTAATATCTGGCTTCTGCAGGTCGCACAGTGGGGCACCCAGTAAGCGCCCCTGATTTCTGTAATCCATTTCAATAACAAACCCGGGAGGACGCAGGTGCCCCCTTCAGCCTAGCGGCAAAGCCGTCGTGGAGGATCAGGGTGCCCCTGAGGGCTCTGGCCTCAATCCCTGCCCGGGCTGCCCCACATGGAAATCCCAGCTCCCCGGGGAAGGAGGCTCAGGGCCGGGCCCGCCCCGCTCGACTCGCGCAGGGGCGGGCGGGCGGGCTCGGCGCGCCGGGCTCCGCAGCCGCCCAGGCGTCCGCCCGGGGCGGGGGCGGGGCCGGCGGCGACGTCACTTCCGGTGTACACAGCCGGCCCGGGCGCTGCGCTGGGGGCCGGGGCGCGTCGCAGGTGAGGAGCGGGCGCGAGCTGGCGCGGGCCGGCGCGGGCGGCCGGCTTGGGGGCGTCGGCGTCGGGCGGGCCGGGGCCGCGCGGGGGGCCGGGCGGGCCGGCGGGGCGCCGCTCCCCTCACGGCCGCAGGGCGCCGGCCGTGGGCGCCCGTCGCTCGCCCGTGAGCTGTGGAGGACGCCGGGCTCTGGGGGCGCTGGGCGGCGGACGGAAGCCCGGAGGGGCCTCCTGGCTCGCGCCCGGGCCGGGGGGCGCGGCGGGCGCCCGCGGACGCGGGCCGGGGGGGCGGGTCGGCGCCCGTCAGCCGGGGGCGGGGAGGGGGCGCCCCCGCGGGCCCCGCCGCGGGGGTCGGTCCGGCCGCGGGACCCGCTTCCGGCCGCCCGCGGAGGGACGGCGGCCTGTGGCGACCCGGGGCCGCGGGCACCGGCCGGGGACGCGGCCTTCACGCCGGCCCCGCCGAGGAAGGCGATTTTCCGGCCCTGAGCAGCCGGCGGGCGCAGCCCGATCGGGGGGGTCCCGCGGAGACCCCGGGAGCCGCGAGGCCGGCGGAGAAGGACCCACGCCCGGGAGCGAGGAGGGCCAGGGGTGTGTCTTCCTGCTCCGCGCGGCGCGGGGAGAGCAGCGTGCCTGCTTGGCATGATAAGGATATTGTTTATTTTTGAAAAGAATATTGTCTGTACGTTTTATGGAATTGACCAGATGAACACTCGGCGGAAGGGGGTGGACCCTGGTGAGAATACCCGGTCCCCATTAGAAAAGCAATTCATTCCGCCAGCTTCACAGTGAAGACAACACAAAGTATTGACAATACTCGTTTAAATGGCAGGCATCCACCCACCTGCCACTCAGTGACAGCCATGGCTAACATTTTGGCGATATCAATGAATAACGGATATATATTAGCATATTTATGAACTTTTTTAAAAAAAGATTTATTTATTTAGGCATGCAAGAGCTGGGGTACAGGCCAGAGATGCGGGGGGGGGGGTGAGAGGATTCACCAGAGACAAAGTGGGGAGCAGAACAGGCAGACTGACTGAAATACACTGCTGAGGGGAGCAGCGGGCGAGACAGGAGAGGTCTGCCATGTGGGTCAGCTCCCTGCCCCGGGATCAAACTTGTGCTGCAGAGGCTGCGGATTGCTTCATAGTGGGGTGTTTAACCCCTTGCGCCACCAGGGAGACCTCATTTTTATGAACTTAACATTATATCATCGAATACCATAATTTAAGCAAGCCCTCCCTGATGAGCATGTAGATTTTTTTCCTGTTTGTCACAGATCCACACACAGATAAACGGGCAGATAAGCAGCCCTGCCAGAAGGGTTAGTCTATTGTTTTAGGATAAATTTACAAATGAGGTAAAAGGTAACGTTTTAAAAATATGCCCTATTTGTTTCTTTTTATCGAAGTCTGAAAAAATCATTCCTGCTGTTACCAAAAAAAAAAAAAAATCTGTGTTTGCCTCATTTTTTTAACTTTTAGCTATTTAAATAGATTAATCTACTTAATCTATTTAAGATAAGTATTTCTCCGAATGGTTAGTTGTTCCAACTTTACTGAAGAAGCTGTCACTGCTCTTTTATGGTATATTTTAGACCTAACATTTTAAGTACATATTTATAAAGGACTGCTTACAAATTTGATAATTCGATTTTGTGTATGCTGTTTTTAAGTTCCATTCAGTGTCTTTTTCCTGTCTTTAAATCCTGTTTCTTTACAAGTTGAGGAAATATTTCATGATTGAGTGTTTTTATCTTTTAAATGAAAAGTTTAGCTTATTGTGTCATTTGCTTTCTTGCTGACAAGATAACAAACGCCATATGAAGAGTTCAGGTTTGTTGTGGCAACTTTTCAGTCTGGCATTTGAGATTCTAATCTTCCTCTATTTTTGCACATGAATACGTAGGTTAGCATTGGAGACCAAGATAGAAAAGTTCTCAGATTCCCTTGGCAAGCCTAGATTTTTCAATCTAAAATTATCTCTGGATTTTTGGAAGACAGCATGTTTTAAGCATCCTTTTAAAAAAAATTTAAAGAAGTTGCACATGATTCTGCTGAAAATTGTACTGTGTTTGTTCTGTTGAAGACCTTAGCTTAATGCACCAGACGTTTTATGTCAAGTGAGTCTTCCCAGTCACTTGACTCACAAACAATTGCGAGCTTGTAGGCTGGGACATCCCATGGGTTGGACATTCACTTTCTCCCTTTTCCTCCCATGACTTTGTCCCTAGTGGGAAATGATGCCTTTCTAGGTGGACAAAGAATGGAGTTTTGAATAAATAATTGCCATATTTTTGAGTTACAGTAAAAGCAGGGTTCCATTTTCTCTGAGAGAACCTGAATATGTGGGGGATTGTGCCTCAGTTGTTTTTTAATCTCTATTGAACCTGTCCTTTTGAGGTTCTCTAATTGACACATGCAGTGGCCCCTGCTCACCCCTTTCTCTGGACTGTAAATATTTGGCATGGTGAGCCACTCTCGCTGTTGTGACTCTCCCCTTGGTTGGCCTCCTTGACTTGGCGCCATTGTGATCACTTTGTCATTGCATTTGTCTTTGCTGCTTCTCTTCTTCCCACATCTGCCTGAGAGCATTTTCTGAGGCAGGGTTTATTTGTACAAGAGTGGGGGTACAGTGCGGGAGGGTGAGAGGATTCACCAGAGACAGAGTGGGGAACAGAACAGGCAGACTGATGAAATACACCGCTGAGGGGAGCAGCGGGCGAGACAGGAGAGGTCTTCTCAACATGTGGGTTGCTCTGAGGCTGGCGGGGATCGAGCTGGCACTGCAGACGCTGTGGACAGCCTCACAGCACTGTGCTCAACAGCCTGTGCCACCAGGGAGGCCCTAGCCCTCACCTTTAAGTCACACTCCCTGCCACTTACCTGGTCACCTGGAAGTGGAGACACACTTCACTCCTCCACTCAGTGACCCCAGCTCAGACTTTGCTTCAAGTCATTTCTTTATCTCTCTCTGACCCCAGACATGTTCCTGAGGCCATGCTTTCTCCAGTGACGGAGCCCGTCGTCACTTACGAAGGTAGCCTTTCCTTCATGACTTTAAGGTTCTTACACGTGACATGTCATATCTCATCTTCCTTTTCCATTTGGGTTGTATCCGCCATTAACTTTCTATCTCTCCACCTTGATTTAAACTTTGTCTCTTTTGCCTAAAGGGTTTCAGATATAATCTTGTCCTACCCTAGGTGAAAAAAGCGAGAAGATAGTCACAGTTACGGAGTTCTTACAATACAGACCAGTTACTGCACGGGAAGCTTGGAATATAGACCACTCAGGGGAAGAAAGCCAACTGAGCAATTGACTAAAAGTAGGAGACGCCTATGGCGCTTCACCAAGTTTCAGAGATCGTGCCTGTCTTGTTCTCTGCTGTTATCTCCTAGGCCTGGAATACAGTGTTCTGGATACTATTAAGTCTGTGTTGAATGAATGATTGATCATCTGATTACACAAATGAGCTATCTATAGAAAAGATACTCACCAGGAGACATTTTACAGACGTAGATTGGAGTTTCAGGGAAAACTTTAAGTTCACCAAACTGACCCAGCCGTAACCCCAGGAAGGCATGATTGGAATGTTTGTTGCTAGAATACTTAAACTTGATTTTGTGTCCTCAAAAACTGCATTTCTAGAAGGAGAGGATTGGGGTGGTGTCTATGGAAATTGTGGTGGCTTGTCTGGAAGAGGAACTGGGTGGTGTGTCTGTGGCACTGTCTGGAGGCCCTGAACTCCAGAGGAGCTGTATGCAGGCCTCTGCACTACCAGACGGTTGGGGGCCTCCCTGTGGATGCCTGTAATTGGGAGAATTTTCTCTTGCTTTGCTTCTGTGCACCTAATAATTTTTGATTAGAACATGGCTTCATATAGAGATTTCCTGACAAGGATAGAATGTGAATGGCTGAGAACTTTGCTTCCAGACAGCTTGGGCCACATCCTGGTCTTGGGATTCTGGTTAATCTCTCTCTCACCCCCAACTGTAGAAGGGTAACAGCTCCTTCCTCAGCTGCCCGGTACCTGGTAAGTGCTCATTAAGTATTTGGCCTCATCAGCAATTATAAACTTAGTAATTGGGCTTCTGGCTCATTCATCAGTCATCTTTGAGCTTGGATAGTCTAAATCAGTCCCCCTGAACCTGTTGCTCCTGGGGGCACTGACAAAGCTGAGAACCCCAAGGGATTGAGTACTGATAGAGCGGTTCTTCCCAAGCTGCTTGTCTTTTTTTTTTTTTTTTTTAAGATTTTTTTTTTTTTTTTTTAAGATTTATTTATTTATTTATACAAGCACTGGGTACAGTCAGAAGTGCGGGAGGGTGAGAGAATTCACCAGAGCCAGAGCAGGGAGCAGAGCAGGCAGAAGGACCGAGGTACACTGCTGAGGGGAGCAGCGGGCGGCAGGAGAGGTCTGCGCGCCATGTGGGACCCTCCTCTGGTGGCCGGGGAGCAGCCGGGGATCGAACCGGCGCCGCAGAGGCCGCGGGCAGCTTCGCAACCCAGCGCTCAACCGCTGCGCCACCGGGGAGGCCCCTGCTTGTCTTTTTTAAAAAAGATTTATTTTTATTTCTTTAAGAACATAAGAACTGGGGTGTAGGCCAGAGGTGTTGGGGGGTGGGTGCATTCACCAGAGAGAGTGGGGAGCAGAACCGGCAGATCTATGGAAATACACTGCTGAAGGGAGCAGCAGGCAAGACAGGAGAGGTCTGCTGCGCTGTGTGGGTCAGCTCCCTGGCCGGGGATTGAACTCAGGCTGTTGTGATGGGCCATCGTGGTGGTAGTGCTGGTACTTAACCCCTAGGCCCCAGGGAGGCCCACCAAGCTGCTTGTCTTGAGGATCCGCCTGTAGTTGTCAGGGAAGGCTTCGAGGAGAAGGTTGTGCTTGAACTGGGCACTGTGGGGAGAAGTGAGGAAATCCAGTACCACAGTGAAGGGAGAGGATCAGGGTTTTGACAAGTGCCAGGGTGCAGAGGTCAACAGACATGAGGTATGTGAACTGCAGGACATTTAGGGTAAAAGACGGACAGGTATGACTAGGGAAGCAGCAGGAAATGAGGACGGAGAGGAAAGTGGAGCCAGCTCTTGAAGAAATAATAACAATAGCTATCTTACTGGGAGCGAACAGTTTGTCCAGTATTGTGTCCATCCTTTGAACAGTGCCAGCCAGCTTTGGTCCGAAATCTCCATGTGTGCTCCCTTGTTAGTCTTCGCAACAGCCCCGTGATGGAGTATTTACCAGGGAGTGGTCTCTCACCTCTTGATTTGGCCTGCACATTGCTGCAAGACTAACCCTTGATGCTTTTATACATTTAAAAACTTTTTTTAAGGATTTATTTATGCATACATAAATAAATACATACCCTCCAGAGGTGTGGAGGGTGAGAGGATTTGCCAGAGAGAGCGGGGAGCAGAATAGGCAGATTGACTGAAATACTCTGCTGAGGGGAGCAGCGGGCGAGTCGGAAAGGTCTGCTGCGCCATGTGGGTTGCTCCCTGGCTGGGGATCGAACTCATGCTGCAGTGGCTGCGGATAGCTGGATAGCACTGTCTCTAACCCCTGTGCCACCAGGGAGGCACTAAAAACTTTTTTTTTTTGTGACTCCCGTTTCCTGATGGAATTCCAAACCCACCAAGATCATCTGACTTCAAAACATCTTGGGGTAAAGTGTGAAGATACATGTATCCTAGAATTGAATAAAAACAGAAATGGATGTAGGTAGGCATTAAGCTCAGAGAAATACTCAATGAAAAAGGCAAGATGCAGATAATGTGTGGGTGTACTCATTTGTGTTATGAGAGAGGTGAAATAAGTTTCTAAGTGCAGAAAAAAAAAATTCTGGAATGGCAGAAAAGGCACAATGGTTTCCTTTGGGATAAAGTCCCAGAAATCTAGACTGTTAGACTAACCTGGCTTGTCTTGCATACTCTTTTCATGCAGAATGAATTTTTTTTTACTGTGTATGCATTATATTTTTAGTCAAAATTAATAAAAATAAGTCTTAAAGCTCTGCCATGTACATAGCAGTTATTTAGGAAGGGAATGTAGCGTAGAGCTCAAGAATAAAGACTAGTCAGGCTACCTGGGTCCAAGGTCTGCTGCTGCCACCTACTATCCCCTACCTTTAAGTTAAATACTCTCTGTGTACCTGAGTCTGTCTCAGGATGGGAGATCAGTACTGCCTATCTCCCGGGGTTGTCGTGAGGCTTAAGAGAAGGCATACAGCAAAGGGAATGATACAGGAGCTGCAGAGAGACTCCATGTGAACCGGAGGCCCAAGATGGCGTTGCTGAATCCAGGACTGTCAAATAAAGGTACCTTGTTGGAAAAGTGAAAGGTGAGAAAAAGTCACAAAGGGCGGTCGGTGCATGTCCCAGATGGACTGAGGCGGAGGAGCAAGACAGGAAGGAGCCTGAAATCGTGTGATGGCAGGTCATGGTTATATGGCAGCTTTTCTTAGCATATATAAAATAATGATATGATTTATAAATGACATCTTAGGCTGGATGAAATGTGGTAGTTCTACCTTGATCTTTGAAATGACAGTGAGGTGTTCCTGTGTAATTTATTTAATGAACCCCTTAATGTAGGACATGTGGGTCACCTCCAGCTTGATACTTGCAGACAATGCTACCAGTGATCATCCTTGATACCCGCCTCTGCGTCTCATCTGGGGTTCATTTCTAAATGATAGTGCCGCCTGTTAATTTTTTTTTTAATTTATACAAGAGCCGGGGTACAGGCCATATGTGCAGGAGGGTGAGAAGATCCACCAGAGACAGAGCGAGGAACAGAACAGGCAGATTAACTGAAATACACTGCTGAGGGGAGCAGCGGGTGGGACAGGAGAGGTCTGCTCGCCATGGGGGTTGCTCTGAGGCTGGCGGGGAATCGAACCGGCACTGTAGAGGCTGTGGACAGCCTCACAACGCTGCACTCAACTGTCTGCGCTTCCAGGGAGGCCCTGTTAATTTTTTAAAACCATTTGGTTTTGTTCACTTATGTTCACTTATGTCTGGACATATTATTGGATATGTACTCTTTCAAACATGTGATTGCAAAGAATCATAAGGAAGTTTTTGAGCACAGAATTAGATAGAGCTGAAAAGTTGTAATCTTACTAAAAGTCATCTGGGGATTAGCTTAGTTGCTCGTGAGGTGGTAATCTGTGACTGGGGATGGAAATACCTAAATCTCCCCCAACTCATCCCAACATCAGGTTCCAGAGGTGGGTGGATGCTGCCTAGGCTCCAGCTTTGCATGCTGAGGCTGTGGTATCAACAGGGAGGGCCAAATGGGTCCCTCTCACCAACTCCTAAGGCTGCAGGGTGGGAAAAGGAGGCCCCACATCCTGTGCCTAAATAACGTCGAGTTGTGCAATACCCTGTAATGAGAGGTGATCCTCTCCCTAGCAGTGTCTTCTTCCTTGTAGCTCAGGCTGCAGGACAAGGGAGTGGCGGGCAGGGAAATGGGAGGAGCCCAGCCGCCTTCCCCTCCAAGGCACTGGGCAGAGCTCCTTTTACTCCGTGGCCAGGACTTTGGGAGTTGGGGTCAGAGCTGCAGGAAGGTAGGTAATGTTTTATTAAAGTAGTTGTAACTGTATGTTGGGGTGGGGGGTGGCCTTGAAAAGCTTGTTTTTTTCTTTTACTGCACTGGCCAGATGAAGAATTTTAATGGAAGGTAAAATGTTGCCCTCTGTCTAGTCCCGGGCCTCTTTCAGAAAAGTAACTTCCATTTTTTTTATTTTTTTTTTTAAGATTTATTTATTTCTACAAGCACTTGGCACAGTCAGAAGCGCGGCAGGGTGAGAGAATTCACCAGAGCCAGAGCGGGGAACAGAACAGGCAGACTGACGAAATATACTGCTGGGGGGAGAAGCGGGCGCAGCACAAGAGGTCTGTGGTGCCATGTGGGACCCTCGCCGGTGGCCGGGGATCAAACCGGTGCTGCAGAGGCTGCGGGCAGCTTCGCAGCCCAGCGCTCAGCCACTGCGCCACCAGGGGAGGCCCACTTCCATTTTTTGAGTGAAGCTCGGGATGTGCCAAGTACTAAACTTTGTGGATTTAACCCTCACCAAAATACCGACGAAACTGAGGTACACAACTTAAAGTAACTTGGAGAAGATGGTGGAGTTGTAGGAGGCAGCCGTTCCCCTGAGAGCAGGAATCATGTCTAGGTTAGTCATCTTCCAGGCCCCTCTCACAACTACTGCTCGTGGCAGTTTCCATGAAACCCCTTTGAACTGGTGCGTCTCCCCTGTGTTCTCCCATTAGACTGTAAGCCCCTTGAGAGCAGGTACCTTGTTTTTCATCACTGCTGCGTCCTACCGTCTAGCGCAGTGCCGTGCGCACAATAGGACATTAGTAACTGCTTCTGCTTGTGAGGTGGTGTAGCTTAGGTGAGCAGAGGAATCTGGAAGCCAGCCTGGAGGTGTCCCCCTGCAGGCCTGCTCTCTAGGGCTGTCTTGGCTGCCTGGTGGGGTGGTTGGGTGGGGAGCAGGAAGTTCTCTTAGAACTTCCTTATGGCTAAATGTTTGACCTGCTGAAATGTTTGTGGAAAAGAATGGGTCCCCTGGCCGAGACTGATTGCCTGTCTCTCTGAGGGCAGGGGGCTGGATGGGCGTGCAAGTTGGAGCCAGTCTTCCCTGCCTGGAGGAGGGAGCTGCTGTAATTATCCAGTGATAAACTTTTTCATGAGGGCCTTACATTTTCAGAAATGGTCCTGAATCAGAAACTTTTTTAGAATTTTTTTTTTTAAAGCAGAAGGTGCCACTTCTTTATTTATTTATTTATTTTTTAAAGATTTATTTATTTATACAAGCTCTGGGTACAGTCAGAAGTACGGGAGGGTGAGAGAATTCACCAGAGGCAGAACGGGGAGCAGAACTGGCAGAAGTACCGAAGTACACTGCTGATGGGAGCAGCGGGCGGCAGGAGAGGTCTGCGTGTCATGTGGGACCCTCGCCTGGCGGCCGGGGATCGAACTGATGCTGCAGAGGCTGTGGGCAGCTTCGCAGCCCAGTGTTCAACTGCTGCGCCACCAGGGGAGGCCCAACTTTTTTAGAATTTATATAACTCTTCTCCCATTGCAAGACACATGATTTCCAAATTACAGTTTGATTTACCCATTTGTGTGTGAGCTTTTTAATCCTTGTCTTTTCCCATTCGAGGTTAATTTTGGGTAGGTTCCACAGTGCTAACTTGTTAAGAATGAATAGTACTGTTTTAAGTTTTCTTAAATAATTTTCAAATGGATAACGTTAGCTTTCACTAGTTCCACTTGCTCTTACCAGTCTGGAAACCGGATAACTGGGTTAACACCAGGCTTAAGCAGAGCTGACTGGCTAAGGCTTTTTCACACTGTAACAAAAATGAACTGTAGGTTTTTTAAATAGATGTATATGTTTGGATTTTTAAAAATTAGATCTGAAAAAACTGCTTCAATGCTTTGTGACTTTTAAAAATGATTTAGTTTTAACTAAATGAGTCTCCTTGATTTACATTTGAATTTCCATCAGCAACATTGTTTGATATTGTGAATGTTTTCACATTGCTTGGTGCCTTTATTTTTTTAAAGATTTATTTATTTATACAAGAACTGGGGTACAGGCCAGATGCGCAGGAGGGTGAGAGGATTCACCAGAGACAGAGTGGGGAACAGAACAGGCAGACTGAGGAAATACACTGCTGGGGGGAGAAGCGGGCGCAGCACAAGAGGCCTGCTGCGCCATGTGGGACCCTTGCCAGCCAGCCGGGATTGAACCAACGTTGCAGAGGCTGTGGACAGCTTCACAGCGTGGTGCTCAACCGCCTGCGCCACCAGGGGAGGCCCTGCTTGGTGCCTTTAATGTGAAAAATTTTAATGGTTCAAGGCCATTTTAATTTATATATAAAAGCTTAGTACACGTTTTCTGAAATTTAAGAACCAGCTATCTTTTGGTGACGGATGATGGTGCTTTGTGGATCAACCTTTGCCTGACAAGGCTTTGCTCCTCCCCCCCACCTGCCTTTTTTTTTTTAAAACTCCTTTTGAAGATTTCTGATGAGCAAAGTTTGTTTTGTTTTGATTTTTTTTTTCTTTTGGCTTGCAGTGTTGCTCTAATACTTGTTTAGTTTTTTTAATAGCAGCAGGTTTTGAGAGTTAAGTCTTCAGACTTCAGACTAAACACTGGACTTGGACTACAGAATGTTGATTCATTACTAGAAAATCAGACAGGTCGCTTGGTCTGTCCTCAGCAAGTAATAATGGATTTTTTTCATTAAATATTCACCATTTTTCTTTGTATGAAACTGAATGGTGGTTACTACCCTTTTCATTTATTTTTCTACTTATTTATGTAGTGACTGTTTAAAAAATAGACTGTTGATCTTCCTCTTCCTCTCCCCACCAAAATACCCTGGATAAAAATGTAGTTAAATGTGTCAGTCATCTGTATGACTGTTTTAACACTTGACCTTTTTTTTTTTTTTTTTTAAAAAAAAACCTGTGTTATTTTGAAAGTTTCACTCTGTTGACTTTGTGGTCAGAAATTTTTTTTTCTGCTGTTAAATGAAATTATCCGTTGTTGTATAGTACCAAAAATATAAAGCTGCTTTGGGTCTGCTGGTGCAAATGTGCCTTGTTGTAACAGAGGAATGTCCTGTTTTGTGGTAATACAGTGTTACCCAGCAAGTGTCAGCACTAGGTGGAGGCAGCCTGGGTGCCCAGTAGACCAGCAGCGCCCACCAGCAGGCACTGTTACCAACCATCCTGAGTGCCTGGGTGCCTGGAGCATTCGGGGACACTCTCAGCATTGGGGTGGGGGGGGTGTAGGAGCATCTTTATTGTAAATGTGATAGAGAAATGAATGGGTTCAAATTTTCCTTTAGACATTTGTCTATCTACTGGAGTTTTCAAATTTGATACAGAGTAAGATACAGAATAACACAGGCTGCAGATGTGAACTGATCAGTTATTTAGTAGCTTTTTTAAAAAGTTAGAAATGAAGCTTCATTGTAGGTGATAGGACTCACTCAAGATTTATTTATGCGTACAAGAACAGGGGTGCAGGCCAGAGATGTGGGGGGTAAGAGGATTCACCAGAGACAGAGTGGGGAGCAGAACAGGCAGACTGACTGAAATACACTGCTGAGGGGAGCTGCACCATGTGGGTAGCTCCCTGGCTGGGCATGGAACTGTGCTGCAGTGGCTGAGGACAGCTTCATAGTGCTGAGACTTAACCCCTTGCGCCACCACGGAGGCCCCTTCACTGACATTTTTGACTCTGATAGAACTTTAATGTTTTGGGGTTTTTTGCATTATTCTTTGAATTAACATGTTTAGTCTAACTCCTTCGAAATGGTTTCTGTATCCAAAGCTGGCTGGTGTCCAGTTGTGCACATACTTTGCTCTTGAAGCAGTCTCCCGGGCACAGAAATAGTCTGGGCTTGGTGGACCCAGAAGTGCCACCACTTCCTTTCCTCTGGCTTGGACTCTCCATGTCTGCCTTTCCGTTTTGATGTTTTAATGATACCCTCCCTGATACCCTCCCCACTCAGTGATTTGTGTTCAGGAAGTTAGGCAGTGATTACTTTTGTTTCTGCTTTGTGGACTTCCTCCCCCACTTCCTATTTTTACCCAGTAACTACAGGAAATGAGGCGGCTCCTGGCTGGCTGCTGCTAAGCACTGATTTGAGGTGGTGGAGTATGAGTCCTTAGATCCTGAGCCATTTAAAGCATTTTCCACCTTTGTCTTTCACCACCTCCTTCCTGTAGGCATTATAGGAACAAGATTTTATGATTGGGTTGAAATGACGACATGTCCTGTGGAAGGGGGTAGGTTACTGCGCAGCTGAAGACAGGGCTTTTGTAAAATAGGTGAGGGTTTTTTCCAATGGTAACAGTAGGGGTGGAACATGGACCTCCTGGCCCTGTGGCCCAGCTGTTGTCACTCGTGGGTGAACTGTTTAGTAAAAGCATTGGGTGGGTTGACGGAACCTGTTGCAAGTAAGGCTGGAAAGGTGGATTCTGGTTACTTTTGGGGCTCTTGACTGGGCAGGCTTGGAATGAACCCAGGATTCATGAGAACTACAGCATTTGTTTTTGAAACCATTTATTTAGCATTTACGTATCTCGTTTCCAGTTTATATCATCTGCCCAGAAAGTAATTTTATATATTAGATAACTTGATTACAGAAAGTGCTCAGAGCATCTCCTTAGCAGCCCTGTGACCTTTGGGGTGGATAATTCTTTGTCTTTGTATAAACAAGGCAGGTGTCTTGTGTGTTGAAGGATATTTAGCAGTGTTTCTGGCCTCTACAAGTTGTGAGAGCCCCCAGCTGTGACAAACAAAAACTATCTCCAAATGTTGCCCAGTGTCTCCTGGGGCAGTGGAAGTGGTGTGCGTGTGGCATCGCTGATCAGGAACCACTGTGCCAAAGGGTTGATGCTGATTGAACTAATTCTGTGCAGTGGAATAAAATAGAATGTTTGGGTCCTTGGGATTGAAACCATTTCTTAAGTCTGACACTCTCATACATCCTTAGTTTGCTACTTAGAGTTTGTTACTGTCTATCAACCAACTTTGAG